GACAGAAGTGGCAAGACAAACCATTATTAGCTGCAAAGTCTTAGGCTCTGGGTACAAAACTTTTAAGTGTAGGTGAGACTAAGATGAATGTAGATTTCAACTCAGTGAAGAGGAAAAGGATGCTGGCTGGTGCATTTGTAGTTTGAGCGGAAAATTCAGAAAAATAGTAACCAGAAGGAGTATTAATATAACAGAAGAAAAAAATGTTTCGAAGAGAAAGAATCATTAAATCTAGTATTCGATTTAAGGAATGCAAGAGAGGTAGTAGAAATACAGGAGAACTATTGAAAGATTCCAGATAGGAAAAGACTTCTTTATTTCCATATTCTGGCACTTTGGTTATTGGAAAAGCTTTTAGTTTATCAGGCCACTAATACCATCCAATTGCTTTTCACTTCTCACCTTTGTTAATATTAGTCATCTTTCCGCATCTAATCCTGTCCTGATCTAACTTGGCAACATTGGAACAAAAATAAACCCATGTAAGCAGGGCTTGACCCCTCCCACTTCTATTTGAGCGATAACTTAAAATAAACAGTACTGAAGGGGTACAAGGGAAAAGGAAGTAAAATTGTTAACTCAATAAATTAAGTGCTTTGCAACAATACACAATAACTTAAATATTTCTCAATACTTCCCTTCCCCCAACAAAAATGAAAGTAACACTAGAGGGAAATATGCAACTCAAATGCAACTTCCTAAGAACTGCCTGGTTTAAAAAAGCAGCAGCCTAACAGAGACCTGCATTTTCGAGTTTCCCAAACAAAAAACCTGGCCTACGTGCACGATCTGTCCAGCCCTGACTGACTGCTATTCATCTGAATGAGGATCTGCATCCTCCCTCAGCTGAAGTCCAATTCAACCAATAAAAGTACATTAGAAGAGAGACATCCGATTCAAGGATTTATACAACAGTAGAAATTCTCTGGCATCACTGTGGAGCTCCCCTGCTGGAGTCGCTCCTCATAGTCACTCCTCATCGTCCAGTCCCTCCATTCCCTCAATCATTTAAATATGAAGATCAGCACTTCTTATATTATATTTTCAGGGGCCTCAAATCTCAAGAGCCCCACATTAGCCCTCAGAGGTAGCAAACTCAAACTATCAGTTCAGTTACTACAGTCCCTTTATTGGCCCAAACATTTTTCCTGACACTGCTGTTTCTACTGAATTTGTGACCAATCAGCCCCGTCTCCAATGCCACAGCATTTAACCCGCCACTATAGACGAAACAGCACATTTGTTTGCGCAACAAATTTTTTGTTTACTGTCAAAATAAATCTAATAATCCTTCCTATTCTACACAATAAGAACACCGCATTTGTAGGTCCCCTCTCACTTGGCAGGTTCGAAATACTGCACAGGAAAACTCCAGGAACACCAGGCACAAAATCAGTATTGCTAAAGAAAAGATTCAACTTTATACTTAAACAGATACTTGGCCAATTTAAAGTGCTCCAACACAAAATTATTATTGGAATGTCTCAATTTGATAAATTCTTTATCTTCTACACACAACTATAACAATTCTGCAATATTCGATCAGAGATTTGCAATATTATGTAGGTCTCAGCTCGTCATCACATTCCTTTATTCTTACATACAATCTAATGAACTTGAAAATAAGAAACACTTTAGATACCGTTATGCAGAACAATGTACAACTAAAAGTGTTATTAAAAAACATTAAATAGATGTTGCATAGGTCATAAAAACACATAATTACAGTCCAACTTCCAGCCCCTCCCTATCCCCCCCTCCACACTCTGACCACTGCCCATCCCTCCTTCCACACCTTCGAACCTGTTACCCCCTCCACTGTCATCACCACATCCTCCATGAAGCTCACCACCTGCTCCTTGGACCCTATCCCCACCCCTCTCCTTAAATCCCAGCTGCACCTCCTTGCCCCACTACTCGCCGACATCATCAACCTCTCCCTGTCATCTGGCACTGTTTCTTCACCCCCACCTTGAAGAAACCTTCACTTGACCCATCATAGCTATCCAGCTACCGGCCCATCTCTCAACTCCGTTTTCTGTCTAAGGTCCTTCAGAGAGCCGTTGCCTCCCAGCTTCGCTCTTTCCTCTCCTCCCACTCCCTCCATGAGCCCCTCCAGTTGGGTCTCTGCTGCCCATGTGTTACCAGGGCTCCCTCTGCCTCCTTGTCCTCCTCGACCTCTCCACTGCCTTTGATACTGTGGACCACTCAATCCTCCTCCACCGCCTCTCCTCCCATCTCAATCTTCAAAGTTCTGTCCTTGACTGGTTCAGGTCCGACCTTTCATCACCACCTCCACATTGTCTCAGCAAACGGCTTCTCCTCCAGCCCCTGCACCGTCTAGGGCAACGGTCCTCGGGCTCTGTCCTCGGTCCCCTCCTCTTCACCCTCTACATGCTCCCCCTTGGTGACATCATCCGCAGACATTGGGTAAATTTCCACATGTATGTGGATGACACCCAACTCTATCTCTCTACTTCTACCCTCAATTCCAGGACTATTGGCGCCCTGACGGACTGCCTGTCTGACATCAAGTACTGGACAAGGGACAACTTTCTCCAACTCAACGTCAGCAACAACATCAACAACAAAATTACATTTGTAGAGCGCTTTTCACGTCGGGAGGATGTCCCAAAGCGCTGAAAAGTCAGGTGTTGGGGCCCAAGCATTGGGGAGGCGTGGTGTAAGGGTGAGGGAAACCAGAGAGGTGGGAGGGAGACCAAAGGCACGGGCGAAGAGAAGGGTCTTGAGACCAGCCTTGAAGGAGGCAAGGGAGGAAGCGAGGCGAAGAGATCATGGGATGGAGTTCCAGAGTGTGGGGGCAGAGAGGCTGAAAATCCGGCCACCGATGGTAGGGGAGGTCGGGCGGGAGACATGGAGCAGACGATGAACGGAGGGAGCGGGCAGGTTAGTAGCAAGATCGAGGCCCTCCTGGTTGGCTCGCGCCAACGCCTCCACACCTCGGGCGCTGGCAGCATCAGCCTCCACAGCTGCACACTCAACCTCACTAAGCCAGTCAGGAATCTGGGTGTCTCGTTTGACCCTGAACTGTCCTTTCTCCCCCACATCCGGCACTGCCTACCAGCACCTCCGCAACATTGCCAGACTTTACCACTGCCTCACCCCTCAGGCTGCCGAAACCCTCACTCACGCATTCTTCACCTCAAGGCTCAATTACGGAAACTCCCTCCTCATCGGCCTTCCCAACTCTTCCCTTCACATCCAAAACTCTGCAGCTCGTGTACTCTCACGCACCAGGTTCCGTGACCCCATCACTCCCACCTTCACCCGAGTCCACTGGCTCCCCATCCCCCAGAGGATCGAGTTCAAGATCCTCGTCCTCACCTTCAACACCATCCATGGCCTTACCCCCTCCTACCTCCCTGACCTGCTGACTCCCTACCAACCAGCCCACTCCCTCCGTTCAGTGTGCTCCGGTCCGCTCCGTGTCTCCCGTCCGATCCACCCTCCATCCCACAGTCCCTTTGCCTCCTTCCTTGCCTCCTTCAAGGACGGTCTCAAGACCCTCCTCTTCGGCCGTGCCTTTGGTCTTCCTCCCACCTCTCTGCCTTCCCTCAGCCCCACACCACCCCTCCCTCATGCTCGGGTCCTGACCCCTGAATGACCAGCGCCTTGGGACGTCCTCGCGACGTGAAAGGCGCTCTATAAATATAATGTTGTCGTTGTTGTGGTGGTGACCCCCCCCCCCTGCTGAGCATGCACATTTACTGGCAACGAACTGATCGCAGACATTACGGTGACAACGAAGCTGCAGCCGGACAGCGAAAAGGGAGCGAGATTCGGCAGGTTAAGGAGGATAGGAGTAAATCAATCCTAAATTATGGCGGATAATCTTTGATAAGATTTGTGCCAAAAACTGCGAAAGCTCAGGAAGCAAAAGAGGACCTGTCAATCACAGGTCCAAGTGCTGCTGTGCTGCAGTGGCTGCTGTACCCCACCCTCACCCTCACACACACACCCTCTCACACCCCCACACACACCCACACGCACACACCCTCACACACACACACACACACCCACCCCCCCACACCCACCCCCACCCCCACCCCCACGCACACCCTCACGCACACCCCCACGCACACCCCCCCCCACGCACACCCCCCCACGCACACCCCCCCCCACGCACACCCCCCCCCACGCACACCCCCCCCACGCGCACACCCCCCCACGCGCACCCCCCCACGCGCGCACCCCCCCCACGCGCACCCCCCCCACGCGCACACCCCCTCACACACACACCCCCACACACACACACACCCCCTCACACACACACACCCCCTCACACACACACACACCCTCATCCTCATCCACCCTCACCCACCCTCACACACACACACCCTCTCACACCCCCTCACACACACACACCCTCTCACACCCCCTCACACACACACACCCTCACACCCACACACCCCCACCCCCTCACACACCCCCTCACACACACCCCCTCACACAGCGCGCAACAGAGCTCAGGCCGCGCCTGTCCCTTTTGCAGCAAACGACGCCCCGACACCACCTCCTAACGTGGAACTCGCCCACATTTAAACGCGCATATTTTTTTCAAAAAAATATAAATATAGACGAAATTTTTTTTTAAAAAAAAACTCGAGAAAAGCTATTCCCCCCCACACCCCCCACCCACCCACCACCGTGAAAACACGGACATTAAATTGTGCGAAAAAGATAGCAACGTCGCTGACGCGAGTCCGGGCTGCAAAGGGCACATTTAACAACAACAGCAACAAAAACCCCAAACCCCCCCCACACAACATGGAATAAAATAACAAACCTCCGGAGAGGCTCTTCTCCTCACCGCGTCCCCGGTGGGGAGGGAGGAAGGTGTGAGGGGTTTGTCCTTTTTTTTTTAAAAGCCCCCCCACCCCCTCCCCGGTTAACACACACATTAACGTATTAAACACACACTCGAGCAGCCCCGCGGGCCGCGCCGGGCCGCGCGGGCCGCACCCCCCTCCCCGCCTTACCTGGCTTGGCTGGTCTGGGCGGGGGCCGATTGGACATGGCGGGGGCTGTTCGCTGTTTCCTTGTAGTGATAATCCGGAGATGTCCAGCCCTCGGTGTCTCTGGCGCGGGGCCGGCAATGTCCGGCTCGGGCTCGGGCACTGCGGGTGTGGGAGCGGCGCTGATGACACTCAACCCCTCCTCTCCCGCTCCGCTCGGCAGCGATTGAGGAAGTCTCCCGACGAGGCCCCGTGACCAGGAACCGGAGCCCGAGCTGTCACTCACTCACCCGGCCCCGCCCCCCCCCCCCACAGCGGCTCGGTCACCATCGTCGGCGTCGTCACCGCGCGTGCGCCAACCATCCGCGTCAGGCACCCGGCCGCCGCACTCACGCACGCCGAGCATGCGCGCAGCCACACCACAACGTTCCACTGCCCCCCCGCTCCCACCCGAACCCCCAACCCGGTGGAGCTCCACGCAGGCGCCTCCCCACCGCCCCGCTTTCGCCCGCGCTGCCCCGCACCAGCTGCATGCCGGGAACGGGTGGCGAAGCGGACCCGAGGGCGTCATGTCAGGTCTTGCAGGCTGCGCAGTGCACACTCTGCGCACACTGCCAGCAGGTGAACAAGTGAGTCTGTGGCCACAGGTAAACAACAGTGCATTACAGTGCACCCCGGGGGACAGTGTGTGGTCAGGTAAACACAGTGCATTACAGTGCACCCGGGGGACAGTGTGTGGTCAGCTAAACACAGTGCATTACAGTGCACCCGGGGGACAGTGTGTGGTCAGCTAAACACAGTGCATTACAGTGCACCCAGGGGACAGTGTGTGGTCAGCTAAACACAGTGCATTACAGTGCACCCAGGGACAGTGTGTGGTCAGCTAAACACAGTGCATTACAGTGCACCCAGGGACAGTGTGTGGTCAGCTAAACACAGTGCATTACAGTGCACCCAGGGGACAGTGTGTGGTCAGCTAAACACAGTGCATTACAGTGCACCCGGGGGACAGTGTGTGGTCAGCTAAACACAGTGCATTACAGTGCACCCAGGGGACAGTGTGTGGTCAGGTAAACACAGTGCATTACAGTGCACCCGGGGGACAGTGTGTGGTCAGGTAAACACAGTGCATTACAGTGCACCCAGGGACAGTGTGTGGTCAGCTAAACACAGTGCATTACAGTGCACCCAGGGGACAGTGTGTGGTCAGGTAAACACAGTGCATTACAGTGCAACCGGGGGACAGTGTGTGGTCAGCTAAACACAGTGCATTACAGTGCACCCGGGGGACAGTGTGTGGTCAGCTAAACACAGTGCATTACAGTGCACCCAGGGAAAAATCTATGATCGGGTAAATAATAGGTATATATATTATACACAAGGGAGGGTTTGTGATCAGATTAACAGTAATGCATTATACTGTATCTTGGAGAGATAGCGAGTCATTCAGTAAGTGTTTGTATGTTAATGAGAAAATCATGTTACATGTTGGAGAATAGCTAATATGGTGATACATTTAATAATTTCATATTACATTATGCATTTTTTAAAACTATCTGCACGTATTCCTTTTAATTTTACAGAACCATGAAATCCTATCATTTGGATTTAATTTTGCTGTTTTATATACAAAAAAACTGCTCTTAATGAACTGCGACTAACCAAAATCAACCCAAATTGTAACCAAGGTAATCTTAGAAGAACTGGAACAGAGAGGACACCATATTATGTTTATTTTATTAAGATCTAGTTCAACCTAATTTAATTTTAATATAAAAAAATCTTTTGATCTGCAACAGTGTCTAGATTAAGATCCAATCTGTTGGGCTGATCCAGTCCATGAACAACATATAATTTCTATCCGTCACAACTGCATCGGCACAATGACAACGGTATTGAATGAAGCGTATAATCCTAAATACAAATAAAGCCTTCACTTCTCATCATTGAATTAATATTATTATCCTTGCCTTTGTTATGGCATCTTTGATATAGGGAGACCACCTCAAAGCACTTCACGGGATTTATTGTAAAATGTATTGCCTGTGTATTTTATAGGAGAATGCTGTTGTCAATTTGGGCACAATAATGTCCCGTAAACTACCAGGAAATAAATGGCCTATTTTATCTGAAGAATTACTAGCCAGGACATGGGAGAAACTTCTATTTTCAAATAATGCCATGGAATGTTTCGGTTTAACAACTCAAAATAAGCGCCTCCAACAATACTGAAAACAGAAGAGTGTCCTGGTGTCCTCACCAACAATCCCCCCCAATAAAATCAGTTATTCACTCCATGGCTCATTTGTGGGATATTGCTCTGCACAGATTGACTGCCACCTTCAATTAAACTCTTCACCGAATAACTATTTAATTCTCCCTTGAAGTTTCCTACCAAGGTAGTTTCTTCCACAGATTTACCATTCTGTGTCATTTTTTTCAATCATATTAAATATAGGAGGATTTAACTATTCTATGCTCTAAGCTTACATTTATTTATTTATTTATTTATTTATTAAAGTCTCCCTTGAGCTTTATTTTTCATATTGTAGAAAGGATTTATTAATTACATAATTACCAGTCATTGGTTTTAATTACCCAATTATGAGCACTTGTAATTTCCTATGGACAGAGGATTTCAACCATAGCACATTATACATCTGTTTACACACAAACTTAATCGATCCCAATGTCCATGTACAAAAAGAGAAGATGTTTTTTTTTTAAAAAATGCTCTGAAGAAGTTGAATGTCAATGTGCCTCTTTGGGATTCCAAAGTGCTCAAATGATTCTCATTAGATAAAGGTTCACTACAACTAGACAGTGTACAGAATTGACAACATTGTTATTCTGTTAGGAAGTTAACACAGAGCTGCAGATTCCGACTTTGTCTAGTACATCCTGCAGAAGTATCGTCACTTGAATTCACAGAATATTTATTTATTTTGTTTCAGGTCACAGCAGAACCTGAGTACATGGTTTTTCACAGTGGTGTAAACAAAATAAAATGAAACACTACATTGTTGGAATTGGTGGGTGAGTGTCAATGTGTTCAAAGTAGTGTTGTTTACTCTGTGTGCTATTTGCTTCAGGTAACTGGTGAGATAATGGGACTGTCAAAATATAATGGAAATATTGACAACATAGAAACAATGCATTGGGAATGAAGATTGTTTTGAAGGAATTTTAGATTACAGTCTGTTTCCTTAATGGAGCTATTGGTTGATTTTGCAATGATTTCTGACGGGATTTCAGACTTTGGGACACACTTTGTGGAAGCACTGCTCCAAATCAATCTGTGAGGTTCCCTCAAGACAGCACCCATTGTGCCATCTTGATGGAACCAGGGTTATTGTGAAAGTAAGTCAGCAGCAACCATACTTGTTGACTAAACGTTAATTAAAACAAATACACAAAACAAACTAACCATATAATCATAGAATTATACAGCACAGAAGGAGGCCATTCAGCCCATCGCGTCTGTGGCGGCTCTTTGAAAAGAGCTATCCAAATGAAACCCACTCCCCCGCTCTCTCCCCATAGCCCTGCAAACTTGTCCTCCCCAAATAATTATCTCCTTCTCTCTTAAAAGTTGTTATCGAATCGGCTTCCACCATCCTTTCAGCAATGCATTCCACATCCGAATAACTCTCTGTGAAAAAAGATTCTCCTCACCTCCCCTCTGTTTCTTTTAACAACTATTATAAATCGGTGTCCTCTGGTTACCGACCCACCCACCCGTGGAAATAGTTTCTCTTTGTTTAGCCTATCGAATCCCCTCATAATTCTGAAAACTTCTATTAAGTTTCCTCTTAACCTTCTCGGCTCCAAGGAGAATAATCCTAGCTTCTCTAGTCTCTCCTGATAACTGAAGTCCCTCATTCCTGGTACCATCCTGGTAAATCTCCTTTGCACAGCCTTGACATCCTTACTAAAGTGTGTTGCCCAGAACTGTACACAGTTCTAGCTGAGGTCTAACCAGTGTTTTATAACGATCCATCATAATTTCCTGATTTTTGTATTCTTTGCCCTTATTTATAAAGCCTAATATCCCGTATGCTTTTTTAACAGCTTTATCTACCTGTCCTGCCACCTTCAAAGATTTACTTATACGAACCCCCAGGCTTCTGTTCCTTCACCCCCTTTAAGATTGTACCATCTAACTTATATTGCCAGCTTAACCACGAATAAAGGGCAACCACAGTAAGCTTTATCTGTGGGCACTCCTTACTGTGAGGACATGGCTGACCTTGGGAGGAAAAGTGTTCCTTTCAGACTAGAGCAGTGGTGGCCAACCTGTGGCCCTTGGCCCCCTCCTCAAACATTTGTACAAGTCTAAGTAAGTCTGTGTTCGATTAATAGTGTTTTTAGTTTTTTCTTGATTGAATATTTCTTGATTTATGGCGTAATTCAAGAAATATTCAATCAAGAAAATGTATTTTGTTGGCCACCTATCCAAGTAGCCCATCACTGCTGTAGAGGGATCTGTGCCAGCCACTGCTCAGCCAACCCCTTCTCGCACCTTCCCTGAACCGTTTGCCACTTGCCATGTGGCTCTTCCAAATCCTTCGCAGAAGCAAGCTTCCCATCCACAGATCGAACCCAAAATTGTCCTTACTCTTCGAGGCCTGAGCAGCTGTTCAGAGCTTCATTTGGTATCGCTCAATGAGTGGCTTCATTTTATTGTAATAAAACACAATCATTGCAAACTTTGCAAATGCCCTTTGTTTTTCATGCACGTGTGAACATTTGTCCCATCTTTTCTAATATAGTATGACAAACGGTGGAAAATCTACACTTGCACAACGACTTGCACAAGCACTTCCAAACAGCTTTGTATTGTACCAAGATACATTTTTCAAGGTAATGCCATCAAAATTATCTTAAAAATAGTTTTATTTAATATTTTAATATGTTTGTCTGATCTTACTTTAAATGCATATCAACCAAAAGTTAAGATTAATCGCATTCTCGCCCCGAATCAGAAGATTGTGGGTTCAAGCCTCATGCATGGACTTGGAACTCACATAATCTAAGATAACACTCCATTGCAGTGCTGAGGGTATTGTCTTTCAGATGAGCTGTTTAACCGAGGCCCCATCTGCCTGTTCAGGTGGATGTCAAGTATCCCATGGCACTATTTGATAAGAGAACTGAGTTTCTCTCAATGTCCAGAGCAACAATCCCCAAATAAAGTTGATCACTCACATCACTGTGAGGCATTGTTGTATACAAAATTGGCTATAACCCACAAAAACACATTCACTGCATTTCATAATATATACTATGAAGCATTTTGTGACGTCCTCCCGATGTGAAAGGCGTTATACCAAATATAAGCATTGTTATTGTTATTATTATGCTTGTTTTTAATTCAGGCCGAGAATGAGATAGAAATTGGAGAGGATGGTTTTCAACAATATGATGGTAAGTCTCCTGAACAATTTTTTTTGTGTGTATTTGTTTCTTTTGGTGGGATGTCCACAGTATTAAACCAGGTGTCACCCTGTCTCAGATGGTTGCACTCTTGCCTCTGAGGTTATGGGTTCAAGCCCCATGTCGGAACTTTAAATTCGCATTCTGGACTGAAACCCCAATACAGTGTTGGGGGTGTGCTGTATTGTTGGAAGTGCTGTGTTCCAGATGGAATGTTAAACTCGGAGAACTATGGAAATCCTCCTTCCAAATTAAAACGAATTTTAAGAAATTTCCACAATTTTGTCCAAACTTAAATTTTAAGATCAAACAAAGCGTATTAGAGCTAATACAAGATAGAGGAGATTGGTTTTCTGATGGCTGTGCTACTTACACCACAATTGTGCCACATTGCATGCTGTAAATTTATGAAATTAATGCATGCATTTCTTTTATAAAACAATGACTGCTGTCTGACACCCGCTGTTTTATTAATGTCCTTTAGTCATCTCTGCCTTGGATATGAAATTAATGATGAATGTTATTTACTCCTGGATGAAGAATCCAACTGCTGTACCTGGTGAACAAGCAGCATCGATTGCAGCAGAGAAAAAATACGTTAACATCCTTATAGTGGATGGTTTTCTCCTTTACAATTATAAGTATGTATTCCATTATTCCATGCATCTTTTTAAAAAGCGTTTGGTAGTAAGACGTTTCCATTTTCAGTGCCCAGTGCTCACATTCAGGCTGTTTCAGGTCAAGTATAGAAAATGTTAGATATAAAATAAAACGTATCCCTTGTCAGCACCAACAATCTACCTCAATTATCAGCACTTCCCATGATACAAGTAGGACGTTTCCATTTCCCACCCCTGTTATTCTTGTGCCTTTATTCATTTTCCACACCTGTTATCTTGTCTGCAGGACCTAAATAATTTAGATGCAAATTATTTGTAATTTCATGCTGTAGGCCTGTTCCCAATCTACATTGGGTTGATATATTTCACCTAACAGCCTTCTTTCTACTGCATTTACGCTGCCTTATTTATACATACAGCCATAAATTGTATAGTTAATTCACTTTACAGTATATTCTCTGAAGCACTTTGAGACGTCTCAAAGGCATGGTAATGCGCTATATCAAATGCAAGCATTATTAATTATTATTTTTCCACTTTGATAATAATCATTACATTTGATATGCTATCTTGTCACATTGTCGAAACATCTCAAAGTGCTTCACACTATTTTACTGTCAAGTGTAGTGACTGTTTCTAGGCAAATTTGTTTTTGACCCCCAGGGTGTATTTGCCAAGGATTCAAATTCTGGTCTGTGCTGCAATTAATTGAGCTTCATAGGGAGTCTATATTACCTGTGACGCCCCCTACAGTTGAGTAGCCTGCCAGCACCCACTGCACTCGCTCACACACGAGCAATAATCACTTGGAGAGTTCCAGCGGGCAACCAGTGTCTGTGGAACTGCACCCCAGCCATAAGGAGGCCAGGGAGCAGAAGCAGAGTAATAATGCCAATGGAAAGAATAATAAGGAGAAATAATTTGCCATGGTAACTTAAAATAAAAGATAGTCACATAATTAATAGCATTAAAAATAAGGTTCACTCAAAGTTCCAGTGTAGTCCAACCAAAGACGAGTTAGTGCTCTGCTGATCCATGCACAGATTATCAATCTGACAATGAGGATCTGCTCTTATTAAAATTTGCTGTTTTTCACTATGCAAAATTCAGTGCTGTTTACTATCATCATTGGAATGAAATGCTACTCTTGATTTTGTTTGGTCAGTCGGGTGTCTGACACATGCGGAAACTCATCCCCATTCTTAAGACTATCTAAACTAAACAGAGCTCCATGCATGCTACCTACAACGTGGAAATTCCTTTGTTTGGAAGGAAATGCACACTATCTTTTCAGAGGGATGCAGCCTGTCTACCTAATTTCGGAGAGCATTAGTCGTAGGTTGGCAAGAATCAAGGCTTTAGGACCCCAAAAGGTGCATGGGGTATTGCTGGAGTCCAGTAAAGACCACCCTGACCATCGGGGCATTGGTTTGCAGGGTTAACAGGTGCTGAGTGGGAAGAATCCCTGTTCACAGTGACTCTAGTCATGGCCATAAAATATGCTGTCATTACTCACAATTTACTCTGCAGAGCTTATTAACAAATTTAGGTGTATAGCAGAATACAAAGACAGAATATCTATAAATTATTTGAAAGGGAATTAGCCAGATGCTTGAAAAGAGAAGAATATTACAGAGAGTGATGGTGATGGGTAGAATGGGGACTAGATTAAGTAAAGAAAGCTATCAGTATTGATTCTGCTCTGTAATGTTCTTTGATTTTGTGTCATATAGATTACAGATATTTTAGTGTTCATTTAATTTGATACCAGAATACCACATAACTACAACATTGATAGGCATGATTGAATATCTAATGTTTTGTACTGTACTTAACATTCTTGCAATATGTTTCTAGGCCTCTGAATGATGTTTTTAATATCCGCTATTATCTCTCTGTTCCATATGAAGAATGCAAGAGGCGAAGGAGGTAAGGACTTTCAAAATGCTTTTTAGATACACTATCGTTCTGTCTCCCACCAACGTCCTAGTGGGGAAAAGTGTATTGCCTTACACATCACTTAGATTCCAGTTTGTACTGATAGCAGAACACAGCCAGGCAGCAATAATATACTACAGTTGGCCTCATTGCCCCTTATAGAGAGGAAAATTCAGCCAGCGTCCCCTTCTGATTACTATCAAGTGACCCCTGATACATAGCATGTGTACCTAGATTTGGATGTTGAATGAGAACAGGATCAGGCTCAGCTATGATTCTCTTGCCTTGCAATAGACGTCTTAACACCTCCCAGTATATTTTGGCTAAAATCAAGGAGAGACTTGGCAAGTATGGACTTGATCTTGAACTTAATACGGTGGATTGATCTATCACCATGAAGCCGTGAGGAAATGAAATCCAGGCTTCCGTTGTCTTTTTCTGGTTTGCAGCCCAGATTTGGGAATGTAGGATTGTGAGTTGGTTTAATGTTGGTTACAGTTGGCGCAAGTCACACTCTCTGAAACAGAACTTGGCTAATTTGGAATGAGGATTGAGAGGGGTTAGCTTTGCTCACCATTTGAAACAAACAGTCGCCCAACACTCTGTCTGGGCTCACTTAGGAGAAATGTCCACTTGAGTGAAATGTTCAGAAGTGGTGGGTGGCAATGGAGCTGGATCCCAGTCATATTTGGTGCCTCTGGGAGAAAAAGAGGAGACAAATTGGCCAATAAGATTTGGCAAATGATATAAAACTATTAACAAAATCTTTTTACTCTTGACTAGTACAAGAATTTACACTCCTCCTGATCCACCTGGATTCTTTGACAGGCATGTGTGGCCAATGTACCTCAAAACCAGAAAAGAGATGGAAGAGAACGAGCAAGACTTAAGTAACTATCTTTCGCTTTTGTTTTCTCCTCGTTTCTTCCAAATCTTAGTCAAGATGTCACAGATTTAAATTCCGAAGATTATATTTTTTCTACCTTTGAGGTTAAAAAGCCATATTATCGGGTCTAACAGCTTCCCGACCTTTTGGCTGAGATCAACTAGAGATTTGGCAAGCATGGACTAGATCTTGAAGTTGATACAGTGAAGCCGGGAGGAAACGGAATCCGGGCCGGCACTGTCTTTTGGTGGTTTGGTTTCCAGTCCCAGCCTTGAGATATTGTGTTTGTTTTCTGCCGCTAAATTATGAAAGAAACATGAGAAAAACAGGTTATTATTACAGCTATTGAAATATGGAATTGTTTGGGTGTTGCTGGTCATTTTATAATCTAAAGGATATGTCTATATTTAAGACTGAATTGTTTTGCCTGTTAATCAGTGCTCAAAGAACTCATTTGAAGAAACGACTCCTCGGAGATTTTGCAGAAGCCAGCAACAACTTTCCCATTGTTGATCTACTGTCACATGTTCATGTTGAATATACAACCCAAATTTAAATCTATCCTTGTGAAAAAAATCTTACGTCTGATTCAACTGGTTATCAGCTGGAGCAACAGAAAAGTGCGGGCGCGCTGTTTTCCGTGGAATCTGCTACAAACCCACTATAAATGTAGTTTCTGGCCCACAGGCCTCCCGGCTGTTTACCTGACGTCACTGTGGGAGGGACGGCTCCAGACACGTTTGCGCAGTGCGGCCAAAGCAGCAATTGGGCTTCACTCGGAGGCCCTGCTGTTGTGATTGTCTATGTGTTTGTGTGTGTTTCTGAGTGTGTATGATTGTCTGTGTGTATATCTCTCCATATGCATTTGGAGTGTCTTTGTGTGTGTGTGGATGTGTGTGTCTCTCTCTGAGTGTCTGTGTGAGTATGTCTGTGTCTCCCTCTACTCTGTGTTTGTGGGTGTGCCTGTGTGTCTCTCTGTATGTGTTTGTGAGTGTTTCTATGTGAGTGTGCGTCTCTCTCAGAGAGTGTCTCTCTGTGTCTGTGAGTGCGTGTCTGAGTGTGTGTCTTTCTCTGTGTATGTGTGTCTCTCTGTGTCTGTCTCTCTCTCTCTCTCTCTGTGTCTCTGAGTGTGTGTGTCTCTCTCTAAGTCTGTGTGTGTTGCTCTCTCTGTGTCTCTGAGTGTACTCTGTATTCGCAGCAGTACAAAGACATACGGCTGTACATGAGGAAGTGACTTGAAGAAACAGAACTAACCAATCCACGTGTTATTTTTTTCCTTAGTTTACCTGGATGGAACAAACTCTCCAGACAAGTTATTTATTCGAGTGCATGACGATATTTTGAGGGAAATTCACAAACTTCAAGGTCAGTCTTCTTTGTTCATTTTTTCTGAGAATATAAAGAAGGAAGTGAAATCTTAAGATCTCTAATAACTGCTTGGGGCGTGTTCCTTCCAGCTCCTTTACTGGAGTGACATACCCCAATCTCAAATTCCCACCTCGTTCCTTTGTCCTTTTATAATATTTCTCTGCAAATATTCATCAAACACCCTTTTAAACGTTTAAATAGTCTCATACTCCATAACCAACTGTGGCTAAACATTCTGTGATCCAATAACTCTACACGAGAAAATATCTTCTAACCTCACTTTGCACTGAATGCTGAGGCTCTAGTTCATCTCAATATTGGGGCAGGAAAACATGAAGTGCTTTCCAAAGAGAAACCGAATGGAACAGTTGATCTAGGCTTTTTTCACTCACAGCTCAGCATCTGATTAAGGACACCACTCTACTGGTGGCACCAAATGTGAGGGAAGAATCTCCTAATAAGGTTATATAGAGTGATACAGAATGGAAGCAATCCAACTAGTCTGTGCCAGCATTTGTACTCCTCCGATTGCCTTCACCTATGCCCGCCTATTTTCTTCTCCCTCGTGTATGCATCAGGTTTTCCCTTAAAATTTTCTGCAGCTTTCCTCAAGTTGCTGATGTTGATGCTCTGTAACCTCCCTGAGGTGTCAGCTGCATGTGAGCTAAGACACTGGCTATGTAAATGACGATCTACAGGAGCACGTTACCCCAATTGACTACTGAATAGTAATTTGGAGCAGGAATCTTGAATATATAGAGTCATGCAGCATATTGGTTAGAGTGCTCACCCTGCAAGCGAGAGGACTCGAGTTTGATTCCTGAGCAGGACGAAACCTTAGGTAAGTTTCCTTTCTCCACATTGCCTCTGTTTATCTAGCTGTAAGTAAGAACCGGGTTGTTAGTTGATTGGCAAAGCGCTCACTAGGAGTAATAATCCCTTCTAACTAAATAAATAAATAATAATAATTTGGTCATTAAATCCACGACTGTTTGTTGAACACTGCAGTACGCAATTGGCTGCTGCGTTTCACCCACAAAATATACAGTCAATTAACTTTACAGTATATTCTGTGAAGAGCTTTGAGATGTCTAGAAGACATGATAAGGAGCTATATCAAATGCAAAGGATTATTATTATTAATGTTTTCTGCTTCAATCATAGCTTCAGGCAGCGAGTTCCACATTCTCACTTCCTTCTGCATTAAACAAGTTCCGCTGAAACCATCATACACGCTTTCATTACATCGAGGCTCGACAATGCAAACTCACTGCTTATCGGCCTCCCCAACTCCTCCCTCCATAGGCTGCAAATCATCCAGAACTCTGCAGCCTGTGTCCTCTCCTACACCAGGCACCGTGACCCTATCACCCACATCCTCTCCCAACTCCACTGGCCTCCCATCATACAGAGGATACAGTTCAAGATCCTGGTCCTCACCTTCAAAGCCCTCCATGGTCTTGCTCCCCCCTACTTCTGCGACCTCCTAGCCCCCTACCATCCTGCTCCCTCCCTCCGCTCAGCAGGCTCCGGCCTGCTTCATGTCCCCCACCTCGCCCACCCCACTTTTGGCAGGCAGGCCTTCTGCCACTCTGCCCCCACTCTGGAACTCCATCCTGCAGTCCCTCCGCTTCACCCCCTCCCTTGCCTCCTTCTCGACCCATCTCAAGACCCTCCTCTTCGACCGTGCTTTCAATCTCCCTGCTTCCCCCCCTGCCCTCCACTCTCCCCGACCCCAACCCCCACCTGGGTCCGTAACTCTGTCTCTCCAGCGCCTTGGGAGGTCCGCCTGACATGAAAGACGCTATACAAATTTAATTTTGTTTTTGTCGTTGTTCCTCCTAAATTCCCTTTTAGATACACTACTAGATATTTTATATTGATGCCCTCTAGTCTTGACCTCACCAACAAGTGGAAACGGCTAACAATATTCACCTGATCGAGTCCGTTCATAATTTTAAATAATTCTGTCAGGTCTGTTCACAATTGTCTCCATAGAGAAAAGCTTCAAGCTGTCCACTGTTCCTTGATAACCATATCCACTCATCCCTGGTAATATCTTTGATAATGTATGTTGTACTCTCTCTAATGCCACAATACTTCTCCTATAATGCGGAGACCAGAACTGTACACAACAACAAATTACATTTGTATAAGGTTTTTCACGTCAGGAGGTTGTCCCAAGGCGCTGGACAGTCAGATCGGCACCTGATCTGGTGGTCGCGATCAGAAGGGATGAAGGGTGGGGAGGGTTCAGGTAGGAGAGTGACACAGTACTCCAAATGTGATCTAATAAAAATGGGTCTGTAATATCAATTAAAAAAAGCCAGTTCCTGTGAAACATTGACGGATGTGGTTCATTGAATGAAGCCATTTACAAAGAGTATTGTATTGAGTGAAACACTTTGAGGTGTCTTGACTTGAAAGATGTTAAACCAAATGTAAGGATTCTTATTATGTATGAGCTGTGTATAGTAAAGCTCACCTGCTCTTAATTTTTCTCGACTTGTGGAAAAACCTTGGTTACATTCCAAACCTGTTGAAAGGGTGTCAAATGCAATAAACCACTTTAAAATTCAGGCACATTTTAATGTTACCACATATGAGCTGGCCTACAGGATAAATGGTTCTATAACAACAAAAGACCCAACACCCTACACACACAAAACCACAATGGCATTCAATTACGGAACTGAATTTTGCTGGAAAATCTAGAAGTTGTAATGAAATTGCTCCCTCTTGGTGATGTCATCCACAGACATGGAGTTAACTTCCATATATCTGCAGATAATACCCAAATCTACTTTTCCACTTCTACTCTTGTTTCCAGGTCCACTGATGTTCCTTCCACTTCTCTGTCAGACATCAAGGCCTGGATAAGTCCAAATTTCCTTCAACAACCTCTCTAGCCTCTCTCTCAGACTCTCCAAACCAGTTTGAGAGGTTGGCTTTGACACAAGTGGCTACTGAAATGATAAAAATCAAAAGGGAACTTCGTAAATGAAGAGAAACACTATTAAAGGCCACAGCAAATAACAGGCTATAGAGATTGAGTAGATAGTTCCAGTGAAGGAGCTTACATCAGCATAGACTGAATGGGTTGAATGATTTTGTGTGCTACATTTCTATGATTCTATCAATAATAACCAGCCCTAGTAGAGTAGCGCAAAGAATAATATTTAATCTATGTTATCCATCACACCAGTACAACAAAGTGAACTTTCATCTGCAGTGTGTTTTGTTAAGTAACAAAAAACGGTCCATATATCCCTGGAATTCCAGTTGATATTAGTGCTGCTTCCTCTGTTATTCGGTGACTTTAAAACCAACTTTAAAATGCATTGATTTGGCAGTCATACTTTATCATGTGTGGATAAAGGCCAGCACACAATTTCAATATCTGGTGCTCAACCAGGCAGAACTTGGGTTATGTCTTTGCACGGAATGTCGTTTTCTCCTCCAAAACTAATAATGTTTTTTATCCAACCTAAGATTTACTGTTAAATGAACCTAATTTTCACTTGTTCATTCACCTATTACTAGACGGCTGTAATGGTGGATCTAACCAAACAACAATGAAACAAGGTGCTGGAAGCCCATGAAAGAACACAAACAGCAGCGAACTGCCTGTGAACAAGGAGGGTCAGTGGAAAACTAAAGACGCCACTGAAAAGTAGAATAATGATGCGGTATAACCATCCAAATTGGACTTAAAACTTAAAGGAATGTCCCATTAAATAATATAAGCTATTTAAGTTTGATAGTGGAATAGTAATAGTTTCAGATGGCAAGAGTAGATAATTTGTTCATCTAGCCTACCCATCTAACTTCCCAATTGGTTCCATTGAAACATTTATCTCATCATCTATAGTGCCTTAATTATCATGTCAAAATGTCTCAAAGTACTTCACGTGATAATATGAAGGGTACTACTAATTCATTATGTAGGCAAATGGAGCAATCAAACTGCACTGACAGACAGCAGTGCATTAACTACAAATTATTTTTTTGCGTGAATTTGCATGAGAAATGACTAATAATATAACACTAATCCTTGTATTTGGTATAGTGCCATGTCATCAAGACATATCAAAGTGCTGCACAGGATTTACTGAAAGATGTAGTGACTGTCTTTTGTAGGTGAAAGTGGAGCCAGTTTGCACACAGCAGTGTCCCACAAACTGCCATGGAGTGAATGACCAATTTTATTTGGGGGATAGTTGGCCAGGATACTGTGAGAAGTTCCTTCTCTATTTGAATAGTTCCATGAGATCTTTAACGTCCACCTGAACAGACACTGGACCTCAGTTTAATGTCTCATCCGAACACCTGTACCTCCAACAAAGGCACTCCCTGAGCACTGAATTAGACAGTCAGACTAGCATTTGTGAGTTCAAATCCTAAAATGGGGCTGAACCAGGCTCACACCTATATGGATATTGTGAAACTACTGCATATCTAATTTTAAAAGGAAAGGTATGTTTGAACTTTTAGATCCAAGCCTAGATCCAGATTTAATTCTAGACCTAGTCCCAGATTTAGATTCCAGCTCCAGCTCCTTTGTCACATGTAGTACCCAAATCTCTGAACACTTGTCAAATATCTTGAGTGTCACACAAATTGTCAATCAGTATCTGAAAGTATACTTCAAGGTAAGTTGTAATTGTAAACTGTAATCCCTACGCCTCAGCCCAGCTTCTAGTCAGCTCTGGGAAACACTTTGAGATGTCTTCCTGATGTGAAAGGCACTATATAAATGAAAAAAATGTTATAACA